AAAATTGGATTAAACTACTACTAACGGACATATGAATTTGAATGGATGGTGTTTTGCCTCTGGGGACATCTAAAGAAAAAAATAAATCGGTCCCGAGCATGGTGGAAGTAAATATTTACTTCCACCATGGTCCCGAGTCCAGGTCTTACCGTGAGACCTACGGTAATAGCTTGTTCCCTATGGGAAATGAGCTAAAAACAACATGGCCAGATAAAACGGATAAGAGAATAAGTTTATGAACAGACCACCTAGAGAGTAACACAATTCTTGTTGGTACTAAAAACAACTAAAGAGATAAAGAAGAATGTGCTAAATTTACGAGTGTCTACTTCATGTTATCAATGGAAAAAGCTGTTCATTTTGTCAGTGAATGACAACTCGTACGTAATCTAAGGTTATAGGCCTACTCTAACTCGAGTTTAGATGATAAGGAAAACTGATCAAACCTTTTAATTTCCTTGTTTCCTCTCAGAACGAATTAAAACATACCAGGAAGCATAACGCGTCATAAAATATCTCTGATGTAATTGATGTTATAATTGTGCATGTTATGGCATGGACTAAACAAAGTTTCTTATAGATGTCATAGGTCAGCTAGAGGCAATCTTAACTTTTAATTTATGAAAAGTTAATAATTTTCACTAGTTTTTTTTATTTAATTCACCAAGTTTAAACGTCTATACTAGATATAAAAACTTTTAAGGGAAAATTGCATTCCTCCTACACTTTAAACATATCGTTACTGGTTAGTGGATAAGCAATTTTAATGGGAGTATCCTGTGTGGCAGCGGCGCGTTGAACATTGGCCGGCGTGTCGATCAGCTGTTTCTCACCAGCTGATCTTTTCATTGTTGCAGGCGGTTATGCTTTTTATGCATTTAAAAGCACTGTTGCTTTACAATACCGGCAAAAGAAAACAGGCCACTTGGATTAAAGCCCCTTTGGGTAACGGAGTGAACACCAAACGTAGAAAGATCCAAATCAAGTTTGCAATGTATAAAACGAGCTTCAATCTATTAATTGCCACGGTTTCAGGGGGTTAATGTAAACTGATCGGGGTTTTAATTTTAAAAAATACTGATTTTAATGTAATAAGATTAACTCAAACCTTATTGCTTGACCAACTGCACTACTGAAGGCAACACACGATATTGATGATGTCACTACCCTCAAGGTCTTAGCACGAACAAATTATGAGGAAGTACCTTGACAATATCCTGAAGCGTATTCTCATTACCACTACAACAGGTTCCAAAAAAAATGTAATATACAGGTCGTCTGGATTTTCTGCATTCCCAAACACGATGATGAATGCAAGGATATAAAAAATATTTTCAGTATCCATGCATTTCTTCTGCTTCACACTTTTGGAAGGTGGCGAATACCAAATTGAAATTACAGATTGGAAATCCTGAAACACCATTATGAGAGGCGTTACCTATAATGTTAAAAGCTGTAACATGGTTATCTTATAGATAGTATTATCATCGCGGTCGTCAAGGTAATGGACATCGTACTTTGACAGGCTAGTGACGAACGTCCGCTACTGCTACAACATGTAGGAATACAATAGGTAGTCTTAATTTTGAAAAGACTAATGACTAATGTATTACAGACAATCCTCATAAAAGCCATTGAATTAATTGTTAAGATTTTTGAGTTTCTGAAGTGAAAACAACATAGGGATTTAAATTAAGTAATTTATTTAATTGACCAGGAACAAACATCTTGTTGAAAGATTGTTACTAAAAATAATATCGATTTTGTATGGGAAGAAGGAAACTTTATCAGAGAAGGATAGGATCTTTATAAAATCTACGCATGCCTAATCACTCGTGCTTGGCATCGGAGTCGTGTCGTAACACTTCGGCCCAAGTAACACTTCGGCCCAGTAACATTTCGGCCCGAAACCCTCAGATGTGGCCTACGGTCCAACTCTCTACCTGCCCACTAGTAACACTACGTCCCAACAAAATATTTGACAGGTTAGGTTAGGTTAGGTAAGATTCCACCGATTCTCCGTCATGTGAGGTCAGAGGATGCAAGGGGTGACGGTTGGGCGACATTCCACCAGAGGGTGGTTGCAAAGTATACAGGTCATGTACCTCTTACTACCTGAACTGCGTTCCTTAACCCTTGTCAATTTTTCGTCGGGCCGAAATGTTACTCCATTAGCTTATTTAATCATCTGTATAAGCGAGTGGGACGAAGTGATACTGTTTTCTAAGAAATTTGAGTTTGGCCGAAATGTTACTGGGCCGAAGTGTTACTACATCAACGGAGTGAGGACGTGTAATATGTATAGCGTGTTTACTTACAACTTAATACTTCAATAGGTTTTGTATGATGTAGCTCGGAACATTGATCGAAAGAAACCGCCTCTTTTAATATCAGACTATAGCTGAGATGGTAAGTGATCAAAGTAAGAAATAGTTTAGTCTCAAACACAACTGCATAGAACACGAATATAAAGCAGTACTGTGGAGCAAAAAATGGCCAACTGAAGTCAAAGCCAGACAGATCCAGACACGTGGAGTAGTTTTGTCTTGGAGGGGTTGAGAACAATTCACCCTCGCCCTACCCTTGATGACTCACGCATCCCTCCTGTTCAATGCTCATACAGTACTCCCCCTTGTAGCGACCTTTCAGACACGTCTCGTCTACAACACACACACACACACTAGTGGGGGTGACGCGGCGCGAATCTTTCATTCAACCAGCCACTATAGACAGCAGTCCTAGAAGTAATATTATTGCCATCTCACAAAGCAACACATTCCTGTGGGTCCTGTAGTCCACGGGTTTGTATAGGAATTCGAGAACAGTGCTACATAGATGGTAAAAACAAGCAAAACGGGAGAATTAATTTGTTACGATGAGTAGGGAGTTGAGACAGAACAGGAGGTTCTTGTGGAGAACGCAGAATTGTGATTCTTGAAAAAACCAAATATCAATTGTGTGCACGTAGTACGGTAGCCTATAGTAACACCATTACCTAAAGTTAAAAATCTGTAGTTAAAAATAATCAATAAAAACTCCACATCAGATCACTCAAGTTTGAAAATTATTTTCCAACGGAAGACGGAGAGGAACCGCCTGGTGTATTGAAATACCACGGTCATTACACAAATTGGAAATTGGCCTAAAATATTATGACCCCGTCCTTGTCCAGATTTTGAGCATGGAAATGCCAAACGAAACATGTGTTTCGAACTATATTCACGAGCCCCGCCGCTTCCGACGCCGCGTAAAAATAATTTTCACCGGAAGCGGATGCCTTGTTTCCGATGAGGACGAGATCGCATCGCAAACCAGCACTCATTATTATAGGGGGAGTAAATGGAAAATCAGCTGATGGAGATTTTTAGTACTAAAAATGTTTGACTTTACCATAAACCGATTTAAAATTATCAATTGGCTCTTTCTTGAATTTTCTTTAGTACTCTAACCTAGTATTAGTTTAATTGACTTTTTCCATACATGTGTCATGTTCACGGAAAAAAAGCATTTAATTTCATTTCAAGCATTTCATTTCATTTCAAGCATTTCATTTCATTTCATTTCTTAGACACTTAGACTATTTTCATTTTAAAGTAGTATTTACTTTTTGGAATAACCATCCGTTTGGCAGACCGTTTTGGTAGATAAAGCTATAGGTATTCATTACAAAATCCGACACATGCAGCGCACGTAGGCTATACAAAACGGCTCTAAACGGGCAATGAATGATTCAATCTAAAGTAATAGCAGGTCGTCGTTATAGACCAACAAGGACAGGGTTGGGCTGTACCCTCCTCAATTTACAACCAATGGAAATTATATACCTAATCAAACAAAGTTAAAGTAATATGATAAACCTTATTACGACGATATTCTATGAATGAATTTTATTTCTGTGCAGTGGCAAAAACAACAAATAATAGTTATCTAACCAAGGTCCAGACTGTTAACTTGACTGATCAGCATGTCATTCGGTTCCCAGCTGACAGCTGATTCGAGTTAACAACCATCAACTTGAAATTTGCAAATACCAATACCATATCATTGCAAATACCAATACCATATCAATGTCAAAATCATAGTATTTTCTGTCAATATGTCATGCATCATACTAACAATCTAATGTAGCCTAAATAATTTCTAATGGTGTTTGCCTTAGTGTCGCATTCTTGAAATTTTAAACTGATCCAAGCGTATGCCTAAACTGGTGTTTTCACTAATCACAATTTTCTTTAATGTGCATTATTTAATTTCTCTCTTTACATTTCTTTCTCATTATTCATCGCATTAAGATTCTAAAAAGTTATGTTACCGGACCTGAAGTCAACATCTTAGCTAGGCGAAGGCGGACATGTTTTAAATGCGTAAACAAGAAACTAAGTAAATTGACTCTATTCGAGGTTCTACTATTGACTATCTCATCGATGTATATAACCTACACTTCGATGGGCTATCATCTTTTAGTATTTAGTGAACGGGTGCAATTTTGTAGATCACTTTTGATCACACCATGTCAGAACACGTGTTCTGCCTGTCTCGACATAATTTATATCACAAATTAATTAAAGCTATGCCTGACGAGAACACAATTTGAGAAAAATACCTAACTTACTAAATTAAATATCCGGACAACAGAAACTTACTAGAACAGACAATTTATGTTTCTCGACTGATCAAGCTTAAAATAACAAAACTCCGGGCATTTTAAAGAGCATTTTCATTCATCTTTGAATCAAGTGTAGGAAGAAAAGACACTACAGTACTACAATAAATAGCCTCTTGAGAAAGGTGGGCTTATTTGTTATGCTACAACACCCCTACCATCCCTCAATAGGTCAGGTCAGTGTGGAATGTAGGTACGTTACATTCAAAATTTAAACTCCTGAAAATGCCTATTGCCTACGCCTACACATCACAAATAACTCGTTCCTAAAGCTAAACTTAAACAAACTCGTATCCTAAATAAATAGTAATATAAGATTGCGATTTTGAATATTTACCTGAAATTACAGCGGCAGAATTGGCAGGACAGGAGAGAACCAATGCCGGCAACGATCGATTGGTCCAGAGTGATGCTGCATCTTGCTGTTAAAACACCCTCACAAACATTCGCAGAGATCCGTAAACTACGAGTTTGGCACAATCACACAGCCTAAGGTAATCCCACAAACACTGATGCGTTGACAACAGATGTGATTCCTTAGTGAGCTTGAGCTAAGGTTGCACACAAACCGGCTTGAGCGAGCTCGGGGCAGCAGCTCGCGCCGCGCAGACAGTAGGGAACTGAACTGGCTCCTCCCCTCCCCCCGCGTCATCTGTCTTTCTCGCACCCTCCCCTCCTCACAGGGCTGCCAACATAAAATGCTAAGTAATGATTATTCTGCAACAATGCACGTAGATATTTGATTGGCATGCATTGTCGCGACTTCCTACGGTACATTACTAGCTAGGAATGTATGCCAGTGTTACGTTAGAATAACGTGTATGGTTCAGAATGAATAGATAAAAAGGTGAAAAGGATTTCACATAAAAAATGCGTAAAAATGCAGCCTAGATGTTTTATATTATACTGTTTATCAAATTATTTTTTTTAGAAGTGTCAAGTCAGTTTTTAAAATACATTGAAAACGCAGAGTTTATTCGGATTCTCAAGTGCATAGGGCTCTTAAGTTGATCGGAGAAGTGATTATTGTGATTATTGTTATTATTGTGTTATTGTTGTGGACATCAAACGTACATCGTAAACAAAGTAGAGTTGAATGTTGCCGTCCTCTTTTGGTTGGCCTATTCATTGGAATTAGCTCTAATACAATAACCAACAAAATAGTTTACTGGATTTTAATAATTTGGTAAAATCTGTTTGTATCCGTGTAGGCCTCACACCCTCACCGACCGTGTGTACCTCATCAGGTATACATAATATAATATAAAAGGTGCAATTCTAGCTCTTTATACAATGTTTACTTCTTGTTTGGTATAATTGATCCATACAGGTAGTTTAATCCTCATTCTAAATCAGAGTGTTAAAAAACTACATTATAATTTTAACTTTCATAGTAACTCGTTATATTTTGTATGTTATCGTTATTGTTAGTAAATGTTGGTAACTACTGCCACACGAACTGGTGAAATATTTATCAATTGGCTCTTTTTAAGACACTTGGACTATTTTCATTTTAAATTAGTATTTACCTTTTAGAATAACCATCTGTAGTTTTGGTAGATAAAGCTATATTAATTAAAAAATCTATATTTATATATTTAAGCACAGTAAATTTAAACATATAATATTACAGTAACATTATACGTTCACCAAAGGACTTACGTATATCCTTAAACTGCAGGAAAATACATTTATACACGGAAAACTTGGTTTAACCATCATTTAATGGTAAGCAGTTTTTATGTTTATGCTGGATACCTCAAATTAAATAAATAATTTGGAAGATGAAAATGATTAATGACATTAATTATATTTTCCTTATTTTATATCGTCATATAAAGGACAATAGTCCCTATTGATAATATTATACATGCTAGTTATTCTCAATACAGTAATAGGAAAACTATATTGTAAATTTATTTTTTTATTGGAAATCAAGGCAAACATTTGAGTTTAATATTTTCATTACGGGAAATCTATGCCTCTCATTCCTAAACTAACTAGTTATTTTTAACACCCATTTTTCATGATTAATCGGCTCCCTCAAGTTTCACATAATTTTCACTCTTTATTAGGGATTCAGATGCTCATTAAAAGTGTTAATTGCACATATCCGACTACTCATACAATAATCATGTGAACAGCAGGTTAATAGCTGCAAATTAGCAGTAGTTTCACACGAATAATCTTATGAATTGAAGCTTATCTTGCAGTAAAAACCAGCAGCTGGACTTGGATACGTTTCCGTTTCCGTTTCCAGTATACAGGGTCCACTGTCACTTTTACATATATACAAGAGATCTGTCCCCGAACTCTACCGTCCATTTAAGGTATCATTCCTGGGCCAAAGACAAACTAAAATAGGCTATTAGGGCACGCTAAGTCAAAATTTCCAAAACTCAAAAAATACCCTTACCGCAGCCATAAAAAAATATTATTTCATAAAAGCTTTTGCATTGAATTGAAATTTGGTGCATAGATTAACAACGCAAAGACCTATTTTGAAAGCATATATCATAGCAGCAACATTTTGGATTACAAGAAGCAGGTATTTACACCAATTTCTATTTTGAAAGTTGCGCCCCCACGTCAATAGATAATTATTAATTATAATAACAAACTTAGCCTTAAAGTTTAAAAAGGATATACATTACCGGCTAGTACAGTAGTAGACATCCCATCTCTATGGACCATAACACAACGGAAAAAAGTTGAATGACTTGTATAGAATGCTATATTAATCTTATATTTTATCGTTTAGTTTAACAAACTATGTTAAAAATTGAAATAATTATGCTTACAGTAAAATTATCTTTTCTATCACTGCATGGGAATGATCACATTTCCAAACCTGTAGACAGCACGAAAAATAGTTCATTTCCGCTATGGTTTCCCGCTCTCTAAATCACGAAATCAGCAGCTGATCCGCGGAGCCGGTACGTTAACAATCGGTAAGCAAATAACATAACCTAAAAAATGCAATGACCTAAATTACATTTTATATACAACTAAATAGTTAATTTTTGTGTTAATTAAATTAATCAAATTAATCATTGGTAGTAAAAACCACGTTGTGTGTATTATGAGCACAGGTCCACTCTTCCAAATGTATGGTCACACCATTACCATACTCAGCTTGTTAGCTAAAGCTTCGTGCGGTCATCTACAGTTCTCGAACAGCATTGACGTACTTTGCGATCTTAATACACGAATAGCTATTTCAATTTAGCACGAGCTAAGCCGTAAGATAGAAGCTGTGTATAAGAAATAAAAACGTAAATTCACAGCAGCCCACTTACGGTGACTCAAAACGATCAAGGTTTTTGAAAACTCTTTTCCAACTTTAACATGGGAAACCCCAGCATGATTTCAGTTAAGTCTTGCTGATAAGTGAACAAACCTGCCATGCAGCCTGACTTACACTTTCTCTCCCAGAATGTAGTCTGGTTTGAGCTCGGTGATCAGTCCAAGGTAGTCTACTTACAGAGCGAATCAAGAGTTACATGATTAGCGATACAGAACATACACCAGTTCACGAACCACAAAGTAAATATTTGTTGTCATACTGCAGCAACAGCCGTTTTTATTGTATGCAGTGGGTCTTTAGTAGCCCGTTTACTCCCAAGGGAGTAAAAAGCATTTCTAGGCCCTAGAGAGTACTAGGTGTACAATGCAGTTGTCTGCTTGCAATAATGAGCGGAGCTAAAGTCATTGCTACATTTGTTTCTCGTAAATGGTGCGTCTAGTTCATAATAATGTAAAGTTTAATGGTAGTATCCAAACTCAACGGTAGGCCTGTATTTCGTTCACATAAATGGAATGGCTTTTTAGAGTATTTAAAGTGAATGGTGCATCAGCCTAATTCCGGCGACCCTAATTAATTATTGGTTATTCATTTTCTGTTAAATTATGCTCAATGCTATTAATCCTATTGTTCTTCCTTTTTTCCGTACGGTACTTGTAATGTGCTATTTTAGATGATTCGTTGACTAACATATGATGCAACCCTTGTTCACCCTTTTTGTCGTTATCTCGCCAATAATGCCATGGCGACAAATTAACCCATAAGCCCTGTGTTAAAATTCTAAAAGTTTAAATTCACGTATAGCTCTGTGGTTCGATTTGTACCATTTCAAATAAATACCTTCACCTTCCCTTAGTTGGTTACTATGACTGTATTAAATTTCATGCAGATCGCTTCAGCCGTTCAGGAGGAATATTTGTAAAACCTAAGCAGGAGTGTAGTATAAGAGCTTTGCTCAAAAAAGGTAAAAGCATTTACTTTACTACAGTATTGGATTACTGTGGTGATTTAAGATCAACACAATCTGTTGGTGGCCCACATCAACTATGATAAAAACAAAAAACTGTCGACAACTTAACACGGTAGTTGTACAAAGGTAAAAGAATAGTCAATGCTAAAAGACAGAGGACAGAGTAAACTCAGTTGTAAACTTCGATAAGCAATCACATGTTTATCGATTGATTTCATCGGTTGTAGTTTTCTGTCCTCTTGTCAAAAGTTCGACATATCGACGATACAGTACCGTAGTATAATTGACGAAATGATTAAATCACTTACTTAACAGCTGCTTATTTGCATTAGCATAATTGAAAACAAAGTGTAAATCATTAGAGAGGTTATCTTTACATAAAAGTATTTTCGTTTTCTATCTTTAGTATGTTAAAACATTGAAATATGCCGAAAAATATAGACTAGTTCATCACACGGGTAAAAGGTGTGTTTTAAAAATCCCTTACTCGTGTGAAACTCGAACTCTGTCGAAAATATTCACTTTACGCCCTAGTTACGAAATAATACTATTTTAGCACGAACGAATATTTGCGTCCCTATGTCATTGGTTAATGGGTTTAATGTCGTAGGTTTCCTCAATAACATTGGCCGAGTTAGTGAAAAGCCTTACCAAAGATAGCATACTTACAACGAAAATAACAAAGTTTCTATTGATAACACAGACTAACTATTGTAAACATTGTGCAATCAGTGTAAGACAAGGTGTAACAACTTAGAAACATTGTGTTAATTACAGCTAAACTCAGTGGAGAGCTAACCGTATGATTCTATATTGTAATACTGTACGTAAACACGTCAATGGCATTTATATGACAGAAGACAACACATTTTGTTGATAAGGAAAATAGTTATTTCCACTACGGCTTAGTCAATTGATACTTTTGTAGGTACAATGCTTTACGCCTCGAGTTTTCACACGTTTAACGACATCCTCGGCCCCTAAAACATCAGGTTGTTTAGTACTTCAAATTCTAATCGTAGCTCAAACCTTAAAAAATAAAAAAACGCTAAAATAGTCTAGCTGTAACGCATTGACTTCAAAAACTGAATTTTGATATCTAGGAACACATCAGATAAACGAAACTGAAAGAATAGTGCAATCACAATCAACTTACGCCTTCACATAATGTGAAAGCGCAAGCACACACCAGCAATGTGTAAAGCCTAACCATGTTTGAAGGCGCTAAGCTTTTTTAATATACCACTTTTAGGTTAACTAGTAATTTCAGTTTATAATGATAATACATTTAATTTAAATGGAAAATCAAATACTATACCAAATAG